ATTTTTGTTAAATCAGGGACAAGTAAAACATCATGAAGTGGTAGAGTAATATTTTTTTGCTTGATAAATGAGTCTCCAATACCATGAATTAGGAGAGAAGAACCATCACCAATGAGCACAAGTGATGAACGAAAGATTTGTCACGAATCCTCATCAAAATATAAACAGAAATTATTGTAATACTAGGGTGCTAACCTAGATCGTCTCCCCTGAATCATTGAATGAATAACCAAATATCAAACATGTAGTGTACAATGTATTTAGAAAGTATGTAAAAAAGAGGGGTTTTGTGATTTCAAGTTCAATCTACTTAAGCAAAAAATTAAATTGCAAAGTTCAATTAATAAAATGTAACAACCCCTAGTTCATTCATGTAGACTCTATCCCTATTTCTCTCAAGATTTAATACTCTTCCTCCTCTCCCAAATTAAATTAATTTAACAAGCAAAAATTAACCTTATGTTTTCATACGAATTAAGCAATTACATTGACTCCAATCTCTTATCCCAAGATTAGGCAATCTTAGAAATAAACCTAGAATTAAGCAATTCAAGTTTAGAATCTCATTAAAATGAATTAGGGTTAATTAAGTAATGTCCCCTTCATTCAACTATTAATTCAATTCAAGAGATTAGGAAGAAGAAATTCATGAAAGAAAAGGAATTATATTAATATTCAAAACCTAGGAATTCAAGAATCCATATGAACTCACTAGAGATTACAAGAAAATTACCCCTCCATAAGGATGAGTCTCACAATTACAAAATGAAACTGAAGAGAAATCAATAACATTAATGCAAAAATCAAAGAGAAGTAAGGAGAAAATGAAAATCAAACCCTAGGTTGCACCCCTTAACTGTCACCCAAGGCCACCCTAGGCTCTCCCGAAAGTATCCTAAAACCCTAAAAAAATCTAAAGGAAAAGGTTCTGCAAAAGTTTCCCTACCCTAAATGGTAAGAATCTATTTATAGTGAAGTGGTCGTCGTCCATAGTAGCTATTATAGTTTCATAGTAGCTACGCCCAATGCTCCTTGCTGTTGACCCTCTCTGGAGTGTTCACTTTGGGTTCATAGTAGCTACGTGCAAGACTGGGTGACTTTGGCCTTCTCTGGAGTGTTCACTTTGGTCTGCCCTGTAGTGTCTACTATGGAATCACAGTAATCACTTTGGTCTAGCTGTAGTGTCCACTATAGAATCCAAAGTGGCCACTTTCAACTCAAACTTTCTCAAAGGCTAGAAATTCATGAAATAAGCCTAGAAATTCCTACACAATTATTCAAATAATCAAAATTACAAATTATATCTATGTAATTCAATGTAAATTAACCAAAAATTAAGAAACTTGTGATATTTGACCAAAATGATGTTTTTATGTCATTTCGATACAACTCTCGTTCTGCAAGATTCATATGACGTTGTCTAGGTGATGGAGGACGTCTTTGCTGAGTGCTTAAGGTGGGTTGGTTTTTATTTTGGTTACTAGGTTTTTGACCTTGAAACCCTCACCCTATTGATGTAAAGACTTAAGGATTCCCACGTTGGTGAGAAGAAGATTTATGAGATTGTTGTTGTTGACTATAGAAGGTCAATTGAGGAGTGTAAGAGTTTTGTATATTGGAATGTCTAGAAAACCAATTGCATCATTGATCATGGCTTTGGAGTTGTGAGATTAATTGAGTATGATTGTCTTGGAGGTTTTAGCATAGTTGTTATGGATGTTTCAAATTCTGGTCCAAGGATTGTGAGAAGATAAAATATTTTTTCTTTGTCTGGGATAGGTTTCCCAATTGCAGCAAGGTTATCACATAGACCTTTGAAAATGTAAATATGTTTACCAATACTTTGTTCCTCTTCCTTGCAGAGGTACGTGATCTGTTGCCACAATGTGAACTCACGTTCTTGTGAGTCGTCAGCATATACATTTTTTAATGCAACCCATATGGCATTGGCAGTGTCTAAGCCAACAACGAGTCCAAGTGCTCCCTCAAAGAGTGTTTCAATTATCCACCCTCAAAGGAGACAATCTGCCTTGTGACTAGTAATGAATTCATTAGTTAATTTTGAGACAAAATTTTCTAAATTTGTTCTATCATTATAATTTAGTGTGGTGGATCATCATTTGTTAGATGACCAACTAAGTCTTGACTTTCTGCTAAGGCTAAGGCTTGTTCACGCCACAGTGGGTAGTTTGTAGGAATAAGTCTAAGAGTGATGAAATTGCCAACATTGAGTGATAAGGATGTCATGTTGCAAGGTGTTCACAAAGGCTTTTGATACCAAGAAGAAAACCAAGGGATAAATGATATATATTTTTATTATAATGTGAACACACTTTTGTACAAGAGAGGTAGATGGAATATATATTAGAATGGACAATAATTATGCATAATTGCACATAAATAGATTCTAAATATAGACTTAATTTTCTTATTATGTAAAGCTATAATTTAGTTAATTTGCTGGATTGATTTGAAGTATTTTTGTCACTTTAATTCTCTAATGGTTCTCCATTGTTGGTGGCACAATTATAGGAATTTTTTTTGCACCAGCTCTTTCCTTCCTTTCCTTCATAATTATCATAATTGTTGTCTATGGATAGCTAGTGGTTACTCTTAATACTTACTAGAAGAAAATAAACTAGTAGGATGTAGATAGGTATTTACTGTGAAAAACAAGCTAGATGAAACTATTAATCAATATAGAGTAAGGTTAGCTGCTCGTGGTTTCACTCAAACATATGGTGTTGACTACCATGAAACTTTTGCACTTGTTGTGATATTTAATACTATTTGAGTTCTCTTATCTCTTACTACAAATTTTGATTGGCCATTACAATAGTGTAATGTTAAAAACGCCTTCTTGCATGACAATCTCTCTAAAGAAATCTATATGAGCATACCACTTGATTACAACTTCTCTATGATACTAGTTTGGTGTGTAAGCTAAAAAAGACATTGCTGAAACAATCGCCAAGAACATGGTTCATAATATTTTGATTGGCTAAGAAAAATTACGGTTATACTTAAAGCAATGCATACCATACTTTGTTTTTAAAACAAAAAAATAATAAGATAACTATTCTTATCATATATATGGATGGCATCTGAACTTGACATGAAGGATCTGGGAGGTCTAAAATATTTTTTAGGCATTGAAGTTGCAAGATCAAAACAAAGTATATTCTTGTCACAACGAAAATATGTTCTTGAACTTTTGAAGGAAACTAGTATGCTTAGTTGTCAACCTATTCATACGCCTATAGAGCAAAATTATGGCCTTGAGGAACTTCCAAATTATGTTCCTATTGATAAGGCAAGATACCAAATGTTGGTTGGTAAACTAATATATTCATCACATACTCGACCAGATAATGCTTATGTTGTTAGTGTAGTTAGTCATTTTATACATAATCCAAGTAAAATTCATATGAATGTTGTTTTTAACTGGGAAAGGTCTTATATTTTTCAAGCATAATCATGCAACTATCTATAGGTATTGTGATTTTAACTGGGACACTAAGGAAGAAAGACGACGATCAACAACTAGATATTTTACCTTTGTCGAAGGTAATTTAGTTACTCAAAAAAGTGAAAAACAAAAAGTTGTTTCACTGCAAGTGCAGAAGCTGAATATAGGACTATAAACTCAGAGGAACTCAGTTTTCTTGCTGAAGGGACTACAAAGTTATATTGTAATAATCAGTTTGCTATCGATATTGCAGGGAAACTAATACAACATTATCAAACTAAATCTAATACAACATTATCGAACTAAACAGGTTGAGATTGACCGCAATTTCATACATGAGAAGCTTGAAAATAAAATTGTTGAAATACTGTGTGTGAAGACCACACAACAGCTAACTGATATTTTAATCAAGGCAGTTGCCAACCAAGCCTTCCATTATAATTTAAAAGTTAAATTATAATTATATATTACTCAATTATCTATAACAAATTTTATCTAAATAACTATAAAAATATAATTAAAGATTTCTTGTTTGCAAGTATATATTAAGTTAATTTAAGTTATAAAAATGAAATATCCAATAGTTTTAATTTGATTTTTTTAAAAATATAATCGATAGGAATTTTTAATCTAATTGTAAATTTTAAGATAAAATTAACTAATTCAATGTTATTAAACAAACAAACACTAGTACGAGTTAATCTCTTGGGAGTTGTTTGCTTTAATATTTCCTAAACACGTCTGTTACGTTGAAAGGGTGATCAATTGGAAATGATCATGCTGTCAAAAAAATTGTCGTGGTCGATCCGCACATCAATCCTGGTGCAAAGTGCATAGTTTATGGTAGTGGTTTTGCCAATGATACAATTCAATCTAACCAGAGCTCAATTATCATGAATCTTATTCGTGGTGAACTACTCACCAAGGCCTCACACAACGTAATTACTGCAATATGAAAATCCAACCCAACCTGATATATCACCAACTAAGGCCGTTTTAAGGTTACTCTCTGTTACAGATGCCCAATATTTTAAAGAAGTTGTGGCCCTGCATAATCCAACTATCTGTTCTAAATTTAACCTTTAGTATTTTGCATGATTGCATCTGATTTACCGTTTTCTTATGAATTTTGTTTATAACGTTGTCCTACATATTTTAAAGACATGGGTCGACTTGTGATCGATAAACAAGTTTGTGTTCACACCTTACATCATGCGATTGTTACACCTAATTTGTAGTTTATTGGCAAGTTGTTGCTTTAAAGACTGTCGCAATTAATTACTAATTTATTTGCCAGTTGTCGCAAATGAATATTTTGTTCAGCTCATTAGAACGGTGGAATTATATATAAACAAGTTGGTAATTGCTCCTTATATTAGACTATTCTATCTTATTCATAGTCAATTTTTTGCCAACCACTGCGAATAAACAAAGACTTAATAGTTGGCCATTGACTTGACTTTGTACAATTACGATTCCTCTATGCATTTTGCCACAAACTAAAATCAATCCACAAGTGCATTGCATTCGTATCTCTGATCTCTGTTCTCTGTTGTCTGTTCTCTCCCCAAAACCATGGCTGAATCAGTCCTCTTCAGCGTGGCAGAGTCCCTCATTGGGAAGCTTGCTTCACTTGCTGTGAAAGAAGCTACTCTGGCAATGGGTGTGTATGATGATCTACAAAAGATGAAAGACACTATCTCATTCATCAACGCCGTGCTGTTGGATGCAGAGCAAAAGCAGCACCAGAACAACCAGTTGCGTGTATGGCTCACGCAGATCAAGCACGTGCTCTCTGACACCGAAGACATTATCGATGACTTTGAGTGTGAAGCGTTGCGAAAGCATGTTGTTAAGACTCACGGCAGCATGTCCAGGAAGGTACGCCGTTTCTTCTCAGGTTCTAATCCTCTCATATATCGTCTTAAAATGGCACATGAGATTAAAGAAATCAATAAGAGATTAGATAAGATTGCAAATGATCGAAACAATCATGGCCTTCAAACCAATGATGTCGATAGGCGTGCCGTGCATACGAGGGAGACCGTGGATCCGAGGGAGACCTATTCCTTCGTAGATGCTTCTGATGTGAATGTGATGATAGGAAGGGAACAGGATAAGGAAAAGATCATTGGACTTTTGTTGGAAGACGATGATGGTGGAAGTCTCTCTGTTATTTCCATTGTGGGAATTGGAGGCTTGGGAAAGACCACGCTTGCAAAGACAGTTTTCAATCATAAAAGGATTGGTGACTCTTTCGACTTGAAGTTGTGGGTGTATGTATCCAATGATTTTGAACTCATGAACGTGCTTATCAAGATCCTCAACTCTAATCCAAACATGAATAAAGAGAACTACAAGGACCTTGGGATGGAGCAGCTAACAAACAAGGTGATAAATATGCTTCGTGGTAAGAAGTTCTTGCTTGTCTTGGATGACGTGTGGAACGAGAATCATGATAAATGGGTTGAGTTGAAGGGTTTAATACAAATAGGTGCCAAAGGAAGTAAAGTCCTGGTGACTACTCGTAGCCGTTCCATTGCTGCCATGATGAACCCTAAACCCTCATACTCCCACCCTTTGGACCGTCTTTCTGAAGTAGATTCCGTGACTCTGTTCATCAACTGCGCTTTTGAAGAAGGAGAACAGAAGAAGTATCCAGAGTTGTTGTTGATCGGGGAAGATATTGCAAAAAAATGCAAAGGGATTCCTTTGGCAGTGAGAACTTTGGGGAGTTCACTGTTCTCAAAAGTTGATACAGAAGAGTGGAAGTCTGTTAAAGAAAGCGAGATTTGGAATTTACCACAAAATGATGGTGACATTTTGCCGGCTCTAAAATTAAGCTATGATCAGTTACCTTCCTATTTAAAACGATGTTTCGCTTGCTTCTCCCTTCTTGAAAAGGTGTTTACTATGAGTAGTCATCCCATTTCTTCGCTCTGGGGGGCACTTGGTTTCCTTCCATCGTCAATGCAAAATAAAACATTCGAAGACGGTGGCAAACAAATTTTGCATGAGCTGCACTCGAGGTGTTTTCTTCAAGATTTTGTTGATTTTAGTAGTACTTGCACGTTCAAATTACATGATTTGGTGCATGATCTTGCAGTATATGTATCAAAAGATGAGTTTCAACACGTGAAATCCCGCAGTGAAAATATATCTGAAAATACCCAACATTTGTCATTTGCTGAAGACAATTTGCTTGGTCAAGCTTCCTTTCCTACAGGTCTAAGATCCATTATTTTTCCTCGTGGAGCCAACAACGAAGCTTCCTTGAATTCATTGTTGTCCAGTTGCAAATACTTGCGGTATTTGGAATTAGGTTATTCTGAATACAAGAGTTTGCCTAGCTCCATTGGTAAGTTGAAACATTTAACATTTCTCGGTCTTGGAAGTAATATTTCAAGACTCCCAGACTCGGTGTGCAAACTCCAAAATTTGCAAGTTTTAAGACTCCGTGATTGCGAAAACCTAGAAACATTGCCCAAAGGCATAGAGAACTTGATCAGCCTTCGACAGTTGCATTTAACCTCTAAGCAATCCAGTTTTCCAGACAAAGAGATTGCAAAATTGACTGCTTTAGAAACTTTATCCTTGATTTCTTGTGACAACCTGACGTCATTACTTGGAGGGATCCAACTTCCTAGTCTTAAATCTTTAATTATTAAGTCTTGTGAGAGTCTAAAGTCTTTGCCATTTCATGTCATTCCAAACTTGGAGAGTTTGTTTATTATCAGCTGTCATAAGTTGGAATTGTCAAAAGAAATTAACGATAAAATTCCCAGTTTAAAATTAAAGTTACTTTTTCTTGGTGATTTACCGCAACTGGTCACTTTGCCTCAATGGTTGCGAGGATCATCAAACACATTGCAATCCTTGGGAACTATGGAATGTGTCAATCTTGAGGAGCTTCCTGAGTGGTTTTCGACTTTCGTTTGTCTCAAAACACTTTTAATCGAAAGTTGCCCAAAATTGATTTCACTCTCTGATAACATGCATCACCTCACAAAGCTTGAATATTTAGAAATTAGTGATTGTCCTGAATTATATAAACGATACCAACCGAATGTCGGGGAGGACTGGCACAAAATATCACACATCAAACGAGTTATCGTTCCTGTGCCAGAAGAGGAAGATTAATTCTCAAATAACGTAGTCAAAAGTTCGAAGGTACTAATTTTCTCTTATTAGTTTTTGTAATGTTATTTAGAGAACTTCTTTTTTACATTTTGGAGGAAGTGATTTTATTCTTTACCTTTAATGTTATTTATTTTCTTGTTTTTTGTACTTCAAACTTATTTTTGCACATTGTACTTTCTTAATGTTATTTGTTTCAATCTGTTTGCACTTTAGTTCCATTCTAGGACTATCTTTTTTATATATTGACAACTGAGCACTTGGTTTATTTTTCCCTACTGTGTTACATTTTGTAGCATCTTGAAGTTTTTTGCAATAAATTATTTTTAGTAATATATCAAAATTTTCTCTTCTGATTGAATACACATATAAAATGGATAGAAACTAGTATTTTAGTAATATATCAAAATTTCTTCTAGGTTACTCAAACGACATCAGTGTTGTCATTGTGGTAAGTAAAATATACTTATAAAATAACTTTCTTCATATAGCAATATATATTGGCTTCTCAAATTAGTAAAGCTGATATGTTTTTCGTCTCTTTATTTGATGAATACTTGGCTAGTATGTTGCTGCTCCACCCATCAATTCTCTGGCATTTGTTTTGGAAGGAGTCAACTATGGAGCTTTGGATTTCACCTATTTTGCTTAGTCAGTGAGTTTTGAAAATTGTTTCTTTTGTATGAATCAGAGCAAGTATCTGAGATGGTGTTCATGAGTCATGAATGACCTTTGACTTTAAAAACAAGGGAAATACAATATTGTGAATGATGATTGACCAGTAACATTCTTACATTATTTCTCATGTAACTTATTGTTCATTCCACGTAATAGGTAAATTTAATAAGAATATAACCATACCAAATTACGGAATAATGTATATAAAACTTTGAGTTTATGAGATGGTATTCATTCAAAACTTTAAAATTTCCTTAGGAGTCGTTTGGAAGTGGGGAAAACTAATTTTATATTTTAAATAAATGTATTTAAAATTAATATTTATTTTAAATAAAATATATAAATTGATATATTGACATAAACTTAATAATTAATTATGTATTTATTATTATAAGTGATATATAATTATTTTAATTTAAAATTAAAAAATATTTCATCTCTTTCTTTTCTCTCTAAAATCTTCTTTTCAAAAATACCCTTAAATTTTAAGTTAGATATAAAATATAAATATATTTATATGATTTGCTAATGGTCCATTGAAAAAAGATTACGTACAAAGACTAGTTAGATCAGTCTAAAAATGTAAATGACATTGACTAAAGCACGTTAATGTTTTTTTTTTCTATTAATTTTTTTTTTGTCATAATAAAGGTAATGACAGTGTAGGGAATGATATCATATTACACATTAAAAATATTTTTTCCATTTTTTTATTTATGTTTTTTTTTTTTTTACCTGCTTAGCTATAGCTTTCGTATTTATTAATTAAGTACGAATAAAACAAATTACATGGTTAATTTGAGAAATTATATGTTAAGTGAGATTTTATTACTTAATTTTTGTTCGTACTATTTTCTAAACATAGCTCAAGTTGATTTCAAGAATCAGCGATTCTATTCTATTCAATATAAGGTTATGAAAGTAGATCAGACATTGTAGTGTAGCTACTTTTTTCTTTTTTTCCCTTTAAAGAAATTTTTTAACAAATTATGAACTCCTCTACTTAGATAATAGCTATCTGTGTTTCTATTAGTGTAATTTCCATTTTGCCAAGAGATCAACCTCAGCTTAGTTGCCATTATTTTTCTAGCTTTAATTTTATGTGAATTCTTATAATCGAAAATGATATAGACTGTGTATTGTAATAGCTTGTTGCCTATAAATTTTAACTTCATTCTATAATTGGGAGCTAGAACTTGTTTTAAAATTGCAAGAAGGCTTAGTGATTTCAACCCTAATATTTATGATAATTTCATTTGGCTGAATAAAATAAGCTTTCAATTTAATTGTTCACTAGAAGGTATACGACTCTTTGAAGTTGAATCCTAGGCAAAATATTGATCAATTAATTTAGTATCAAATTTTAATACTATACACTACAAATTTTATGTAAATTTAATTATTAATTTGTTTTAATATTCTGTGTTCTGAATGATAAAATAATATAAATTAAACTATAATATAAAAATATTTAAAATACACTAATAATATACAAACTTTTTTATATAACTATGAATTATAACATAATAGAAAATTGTTGACTGTTAATGTAAGTTGTGTTTATGATATCTTTTTAAAAAATTACACTAACAATATATCAAAATTAAAATCTCTTTCAAATTAGGAAGAGTATAATAAAAACAAAAAAGACTTTGAATTTAATTTATTTTAATATCCATTTTTTCATAAATAGTTATAAACCCTATTTTATTGTATTTCCTAGTTTTAAATAATGTACTTAAATTGCATGATCCTTTAAAAAATAAACATTTTTATCATAAAAAAAAATTCATTTCAATTCTAGATGGGATATACAAATGTAAAATTATATTTTATTATTATTTTTACATTACTTTTAGTGTGAAAGTATTTTTTTTAAAATATTAAGTTAATAAAAAAAGTTATTTGACAATAAATTTGATAAAGAAAAAGTTAATTGAGCCATGAATTAGTTAAATAAGTTAAATTTAAGAAAAAATAGTGTTTTTGTCTTCAATTTATTTATTTATTTATTTAGTCCATTTTAATCATCTAACTTATTTAAATGTTTCAAGTTGACTATTTTTTTTGTTACAAAAGTTAATTCTGTTAAATTTTTTTTATTTTTTGCCATGTATATCGTGAATATACTGTTCATCATCTTCTTTAGATATCTTATTGCACTTCCTTCACCTCATTCTCTTCCTTTTCTTTTGCTTCCGTCTCCCTTTTCTTTTTTCTTGTATTTATTTTCTGTGTTGTTTTGCAATTGTTCAATCATATGGGGTTAAGAGACAAGGAATTATTTGTAGATATATTTTGAGTATGGATATGTATTATTCATTTAAGTATTTTCAATTTCATATTTATTTTAATTGGGTATTATTGAATGTTGCACAAATGTGAGTATAATTCAAAATACGTTAATTTTAATTTGTAACTCATGTAAAACTTTATTTTTAATTATTATTTCTAACACTGCCATGTGGTCATCCATCACACTTACTTCACCAAAAACAACTACACCTACTAATTTCAACTCTAATTTACAGCAAAATACTCAATCATAAGGTAATGTTTGACTTGCTCTGATGAGTATTGACACCATCAAGGACGCTAGATGGATAGTTTATGGTAGTGGTTTTGCAATGATACAATTCAATCAAACCAAAGCTCAATTATCATGAATCTTATTCGCGGTGAACTAGTCACCAAGGCCTGACACAACGTAATTACAAATGCCCAATATTCTAAAGGAGTCGGCCCTTCATAATCCAACTCTCTGTTCTACATCTAAGCTTTAGTATTTTGCATGATTGCATCTGATTTACCGTTTTCTTTTGAATTTTGTTTATAACGTTGTCCTACATATTTTAAAGACATGGGTCGACTTGTGATCAACGAACAAGTTTGTCTTCACACCTTACATCATGAGATTGTTACACCTAATTTGTCGTTTATTTGCAAGTTGCTGCAAATGAATATTTCATACAGGTCATTAGAAATGTAGAAATTATATATAATTATAAACAAGTTGGTAATTGCTCCTTATATCAGACTATTCTATCTAATTCATAGTCAATTTTTTTGCCAATCACTGCGAATAAAGACAGACTTGATAGTTGGCCATTGCCTAGACATTCTATAAATACGATTCCTCTTTGCACTTGTGCCACAAACTAAAATCAATCCGCAACTGCATTGCATTCCTATCTGATCTCTGTTCTCTGTTCTCTGTTCTCTCCTCTCTCCCCAAAACCATGGCTGAATCAGTGCTCTTCCGCGTGGCAGAGTCACTCACAGGGAAGCTTGCTTCGCGTGTTATGGAAGAAACTTCTCTGGCTATGGGTGTGTATGATGATCTACGCGAGATGAAACAGACTATCTCGTTCATCAAAGCCGTGCTGTTGGATGCAGAGCAAAAGCAGCACCAGAACAACCAGTTGCGTCAATGGCTCACGCAGATCAAGCACGTGCTCTACAACGCTGAAGACATGTCGATGACTTTGAGTGCGAAGCGTTGCTAAAGCATGTTGTTAAAACTCAGGGCAGCGTGTCCAGGAAGGTACGCCGTTTCTTCTCACGTTCTGATCCTCTCATATATCGTCTTAAAATGGCACATGAGATTAAAGAAATCAATAAGAGATTAAATAAGATTGCAACTGATAGAAACAATTTTGGCCTTCAAACCAATGATGTTGATACGCGTGTCGCGCATAGGAGGGAATTGACCCATTCCCACGTAAATGCTTCTGATGTGATAGGAAGGGAACACGACAAGAAAAAGATCATTGAACTTTTGTTGCAAGACGATGATGGTGGAAGTCTCTCTGTTATTCCCATTGTGGGAATTGGAGGCTTGGGAAAGACCACGCTTGCAAAGACTGTTTTCAATCATAACAGTGTCGATTAGTCCTTCGAGTTGAAGATGTGGGTGTGTGTTTCCGATGATTTTGAACCCAAGCACATGCTTATTAAGATCCTCAAATCTGCTCCTAACCTAAATACAGAGAACTATGAGCACCTCGAGATAGAGCAGCTAAAAAATCATGTGAGAAAAATGCTTGATGGTAAAAAGTTCTTGCTTGTCTTGGATGACGTGTGGAATGAGGATCGTGTTAAATGGGTTGAGTTGAAGGGTTTAATACAAATTGGTGCCAAAGGAAATAAAGTCCTAGTGACTACTCGTAGCCATTCCATTGCTGCCATGATGGGCACTAAACCCTCGACTCCTGCCCTTTAGAAGGTCTTTCTGAAGTGGATTCCATGACTCTGTTCATTAAATGGGCTTTTGAAGAAGGAGAAGAGAAGAAGTATCCAGAATTGTTGTTGATTGGGAAAGAAATTGCAAAGAAATGCCGAGGGCTTCCGTTGGCAGTGAGAACTTTGGGATGTTCACTGTTCTTAAAAGTTAATAAAGAAGAGTGGACGTTTGTTAGAGACAATGAGATTTGGAATTTACCACAAAATAATGATGACATTTTGCCGGCTCTCAAATTAAGCTATGATCAATTACCTTCTTATCTAAAACAATGTTTTTCTTGCTTCTCCCTTTTCGATAAGGATGTTATTATTAATAGTTTTAATGCTTCTGATCTTCGGGAGGCACTTGGTTTCCTTCCATCGTCAATGCAAAATAAAACATTGGAAGAGGGTTGCACTCAAATTTTGCATGAGCTGGCCTCGAGGTCTTTTCTTCAAGATTTTACTGATTTTGGTACTACTTGCACGTTCAAATTACATGATTTGGTGCATGATCTTGCACTATATGTCTCAAAAGATGAGTTTCAGCACGTGAAATCCCGCACTCAAAATAAAAATACCCAACATTTGTCATTTGCTGAAGACAATTTGCTTGGCCAAGCTTCCTTTCCTGCAGTTCTAAGAACCATTATTTTTCTTCGTGGGGCCAACAATGCAGCTTCCTTGAATTCATTGTTGTCCAGGTGCAAATACTTGCGGTTTTTGGAATTAGATTTTTCTGAATACGAGAGTTTGCCTAGCTCCATTGGTAAGTTGAAACATTTAAGATGTCTCATCCTTCATAATAATACAAAACTTTCAAAACTCCCAGATTCAGTGTGCAAACTCCAAAATTTGGTAGTTTTACGAGTCGATGCTTGCAAAAACCTAGAAACATTGCC